GGACAACCGAAACTCATAAACAATCTGAATGTGCTATGGAGTAATATTTTTCTATTCTTTGCATAACCTGCAGTGACTTTTATTATCATGATAAACCATGATGCGATACCTTCTGTGTCATTCATGACAGTTGAACTACTAGAGATTTCTTTACCATTATCAATTTGGATATGCCTGTAAACTGGCTTCTCTCATGTTAAAGTATTAATTTAAGAATAAAATATTTACCATACAGAAAGAAAAAGAAAAGATCAAGGAAAGAATGGCACATTGGAGAGGGTTGGTCTCAGCAAGTAATGAGGTGCAGCCCCTACCTCCGCAAATAGCATATTATTTTCTCTCAAGAGATCGCAACGCAATCAATTAATTATTCAGGATTCAGTCTATCCCGACTAGCTCGTTCAAGGAGAGAGGTCTCGACGGGGGATGGAATGCCTAAGTATGGTCCAAAAGGGCACGCCTGACACACTTTGTATTTCCACTAAGGTTATGGGAGATATTCCAATATAAAGCAGTGGTGGCATTCAAGTTTGCATTCGGATTGGTTAGGGTCTCTGAAGACCTTCGGGGAAGGTTTAGACTCAGACATTATTAGCTTTTCAATTATTTTTAAGCATTCGTAGTCGGACGAAAATACAAGCTTACACCCGAAGTGACCGGCTCAGGTACTGGGACTGCCTGGATGTCTCCGCAGAGGGATGGTTCTGTGTTTCCTGGTGAAGATTTACTAAGCATCCCGTGAGCATGAATTTTGAGCTGCCATCTGGACCCAAACCATGCGAAGAGGTCAGGGACCTGAGGCCCTCGAAAACATTCGTTTCCGTGGAAACTCCTCACCGGAACCGGAGGGGCCTCTCTCTCCACCTCGAACAATATGTGCCATAAACAAGGCTTGCTTTCCCTACTGGCACTCTTGCCTGCAGAGGTTTCTTCGCGAATCGTCTCTTGGGTTTGACCTGTTCAGATTTCGGTTCCGGATCATCCCTGTCCATCTCAACACATTGGCCATTTCATTTGGCACGGAATTGAGCCGCACCGCCAGACATATCAGTCAGAAGTCATGGTGTGCACACTGGGCGGCGGACGTAACGGATAAAGTTTTGGAGTGACATATTTGCGGGCCTTATGACAACGCATCGCGTTGGACCGTGTTCTGACTGACGATGATCTTATTTAGGGAATATGTGTTCGACCACCTTGTGACCCTGGTGGTCAAACATGATAACTTGGGAGGCTCTGTGGCCGGTGACTCTCGATACCTTTTCTCAGAACAACGAGGCCCACTTGGACCATGAAATATTAACTCACAAGCGCATCGTGGCTGGAAGTTTGAAACCTTATCACAATAGACGAACTATGGACACAAGGGGAGCAAACATTCCATTAGATAATCCTTAACAGCATACCGGGGGTAACATTGACTGCTGGTGAGGACCAAGTGGCTGAATACCCGAACAGAATGGTCACTGCAGACTAAAACACAGGCATGATTCAAGTGGCACTGTTCACGCAGCAGGTCAGACTTCTTGGTTCACAAGATACTTCGTTGCCAATGCAACACAGAAGTCCGCGGAGGTAGGTTGAACTATCTGTCAAGCCAGACGAAAAGTTTACAAGGCATTCCGAAAAGCCTGTACCACTCAATATGGAAAAAAATCCACCAGTAAGGAAGCCAGTTTAGCTGCGGGTCCCAACTAAGATGTACTGTGCAGTCCAGGATTAGCTAAGTTTCTGAGCCCGCGTTTCGTAGCACAGCTTGTTACTTCTCAGGTCGATACGAAACAGCACAAAATAGACTGAAGAGAATGACTGTGTTATATCATCGGCAGAGAAAAGTATCAGGAAAGCCAGCCAGCTTCATCCAGGCGGGCCTCCTGGCTGTGACGCCCTGAGACAGGCAGTCCTGTGGTGTGACACTGCAGAAACTAGTCTTTCATCTCTTCAACAATCGGATTTTGTCACCTAAACCCCCTAAAGATGTGCCCCATCTCAACACCCACTTTTTAGGGGGAGACAGGAAAGACCTTGGAAACAATAGACTGATTGCCCTACTCTCCATTCTGCCCAAAGCAATGGAAAGCCTGATGGCAGATGAGATCTGGAAATTCCTCAACGTAAAGAACTATCTCCGCGCTATTGAGGATGGCTTTGGAGTGGCCGCAACGGATTGCTGACTGTATGTGGGGCCGAAATTTTAAGTGGGATAATGGGAAAAGCAGTTCATGTCATTCCTATCGTTCTGGCAACAGTATTTCACACTGTACCATACAAAACCCTGATCTGCAAGATTGCATTAACGGTTAAAAATGAGCCTCTGCCTTCTTGGTTCAAGGTGTCTCCAGGGGGTAGAGAGTTCTAAGCAAAACTTAACACAGTACGTTTCAGGTGGAAGCCATCAATATCGAGAGTAACTCAGGTAAGCCACTTCTGTTCCTGCTGTTCGTTAATGGTCACCCTCATAAAATTTTCTCGCCCACCCTTCTTTTTATTAGGGGCATCAAAATTTCGCGGAGGCCGACTATAGATTGTTCCAAAACGACATTCATTGACTCAACCTCTAGCCATTAGAGAACGGCTAGAACTTCTAACGGCGAAAGCAAAAGTAGTGCCTACCTAAATGGACGAAAGGAGGATGGCCAAAGACGAATACGAGTTGCACAACAACGTCATCACTAAGCAGTTACGCTGTTAACGGAGAGAGATTTGGGGCTGTAGTTTTCATACACCGGGAGCCCTAGCTGCATTGGCGCGTGGGAGCCACAGAGAATATTATTCAACACCTCGCACCCAGACGGCTGGTTGCTGTAACTGGTGGGTTACTTCCGGAATGCTTTCAAGTCTTACTCTCGACCGCATCTGAAGGCACCCAATATGGTCGGATCCCTGGGACCCTGGCGGGACCTCAGTCTTCTTTGGGAATCGCAAAGAACTGCGGCAAAAGCTGTCGGACCGGGGGAGGTGCACATTCTGAGGGACTGGGGCACTTAAACCTACTTGCCACAGGATACTGTAAAAGAAGTCTTGACATTATTATGGTCTCCTAAATGATTCATCAAGCAAATCGCATGAACAAACTAACTTCACCTACGACACGCGGCCATCCTGAGGGGGCCACATCAGGCTCGTGCCAAGCTTGTTATTCCCAACAGCACATGCTACATGGAACGCTTCATTACTGGGCGTAGTCACGGCCGTCGCAGTAGACTCGTTCGAAAGAAGGTTGAAAGAGTATTTCAGCTCGTGCGGCTTACCGGCGATGTACTCTACGCACTACTAACCTCACTAGGCCATTAAAATCTCACCCCTCTCGCTGGTTGGCACCCGCTTGTCTTGATTTACCCGACTTGTCTTCAACCTCGCTGTAGAAACTGCTCTCGTGCCATCTAGTTTTGTCCTTCGAGAACGTCCCATGTGTCTCTCATCACTGTTCTGCTACCTTCGTCCAGGGACTTGTGCAGACGGTAGACTCTGATGGGCTCTCTAATCCTCCTAACTGGCCATGGCTTCCAAACTAAGTGAATCAATAAGTTGGAGATATAACCCAGCAGAAGACACTGATCTCACCGGGTCAAAAGCAGGAAAGCGCAGGGGGTTTCTCTGTCGCTACAGGAGCGAAAGCAAACAACAGGCCCCAAAAGCCGAACGGGTAGTTCAAAAACTGTCAGGTTTCTATGCCAGTACAATAGGCGTTGGATTTCCCGGCTCAATTTTACTGCTTCATGGAGGTAGGAGAGGTAAGCTGCGCAAGAAATGCCACACCACAAACAGACAGTCACTTGAAAACAGTGCCTCTGAGTTAAAAATACTACCAAGTTGGTCTCAGAAATACGGCTATCTGGGTGAAATGATTTGGCAACTACAAAGGTTGAGAGGTACAGCCGTTGAGTGCATTGTTAATTCGTCTGGAAAAAAGTGATAAGCTTCCCGTAAAAGTTTCTAAAAACCCATCGAAGCAAGAGAAAACAAGCTGAACAGCTGAACACAATAAAAGCAGGTTACGATCAATCCCCACACTATCCGGAAAAGTAAAAAACAAAGGGGTTTAGGTATACGCGGATAACCTCCGGTCATAAAAATTGCAAGACGAGTGTACGAAACGTAGATGACATAAAGAAATATTATTTACTATTTTGGGATCTATAAAATACAAATATTTATACAATTCCCTTAGATAAATCTTGCTGAGGAGCGCGAACGAATGCGAATCCTAAGTCTGAAGCTTTCCGTCGATCTTCTCCACCCACCCAACAGCCAAAAGAAATCATATAAGAATAATTGGAACACAGCAGAAGGGACACCGGGAGTACTCAGGCGCTCTCAGTCTGGAGCCTACGTAACGCAAATTGACTGAGAAGGATATGACCGTGGTGCGTCTCACAGCAAATGGTTCCAAACATCCAGCGGATTGACCTTGCGTATCAACTAGATATCTACCACTGGAATTCATCCTTTGACAGTAGAGGACAAAAAGATAAGGTAGGTCATCCATGCTAACTGTTTCACACTCGCTTCCTGTAAACTGTGAAATCCTTTCTCTGATGAAATTGCAGTGTTTCCTTCGCCTGGTGCTTTATGAAGGAGGTTATGTATCATTTGAAGTTCCGTGTTTCAGAAAGAGCGAGCTCTGAAAGCTTTATGACTCCCCAAAGAATATGAGTGTCAGGAATATTAAGAGACAAAAGCTAGAAATTAATAAGAATTTCTGTCATAGTTTTGTGGATCACAGGGAAGAAAGGTGTCTCCTTAGTGCAAAAAGTGCAGCCAAAGGAGTTTTTACTCATCCCTTTCTTAAATAAAGGTTAAAAAAACAGAAAGCTGATTGATATAGAAAATCGAAAAGTAACGGTCTCCGCCATTTTTCCTGATTAAAGTTAGGATTTTAAAGGATTACGAAGTATTTTTCATGAAGCTAATATTGTCAGAGAATTTTTAAAAACATACTAGTTCACCATTGTAAATTGTAAATGGTGAGAGGTTTCCATCTTACTGTTCCCCTATTTGAAATTGAAGGTGAAAGCACTCACGTAACGCGGATGTATTGAATGTTGTGCTACTTTTGGACATGCAAAGCCCTACTGGGCAAATTAATTGTGCATTTGGGGCCACTATGAATTATTCTGGTATGTCGTAGAACTCACTTGTTACGTTAATATTCCATGCAATAACAGGAAGGTTGAAATGGTACTGCAACGAAATTTTGAGAAGGATAGAGGGTTCAGGACGTAGGTACACATTAACATTAATAATTATCTTTGCTTTCAGCCATTTCAACAATAGAGTTCAACGAAGAAGGCACACATCTAGCCTATGGAAATGCTGATGGCATTGTTAGCACTATCGAACTCGGCAAAGCAGTTTGTAGTTCTGAAGTTTTGATGTTAATTTTAGAATTAGGATGTTTCTGACATAACACAACGTTGTCACACTTGTTCAAAACCTTATCAGATTTTTCTGAGTCACGAGCCAGAGTTTGATTGTCTGAAGTCTCAGGCTATAGAGGAAAAGATCAGTCATATACGTTGGTTACCGAGGTCTGGTCGTTCTCACTTTTTACTTTCTTCTAATGGTAAGCTCACGTTTAAATGTTGTTATCTTGATACTTATGGGAAAAGAATGTAGTTTTTAGTTTTGAACTGACTGGAGTACCCAGGTTGAATGTTAGACAGAACCAATAGTGACTTCAAGTTATTCAGATCGTATCATCGTCAAATTTTAGCATTGAGAATTACACCATTTTAAACCCTTGAATGCGGAACAATATGCTGTAGTTTTTTGACCATTCTGAAAGTCAAATATCATATCGTCCTTTTAATTTACTCGAGGAGTTTTGGGTCGAATTTTAGACAAGGATTTGCTGCCTATGCGTTCTTCTGCAATTTAAATAAGAACGAGACTGTGTAGGCTTGTCAAATTTTCCCTGGCAACTTTGGTGAACATCGAAGATGTCGCTAGTGCTCCAATAAAGCGTGGCTTTTATTAAATGGTCATTGTGACAATCTAATCACTACGTCATTCGATTAGAAGGGGATACAGGGTTTTCACCAGTTTCGTACTTATTATTAAATAAGTACTTAATAATCATGTATACAGTTACCTGCGTTAGCAGACAACAATTTTTGATAAGATTGAAATGTTCTTCAAATCTTAGTGTTGTATGTTGGGAGTCAATCGGCTGGAAAGTTTTGCGCTTTTTAACACTCATGAGTAAGATCTATTTACAAACAGAAGGGAATCGTTCTTCTGACTTGAATCTGCATCACTCAGTGACCTCACTAAACTATTCAACCACAACTGGCTTCATTGAAGGACTATGTTATGTGCACGAATTGATCAGTAGAGGGTAACCTGTGTGGGTCTCAAGTCATAACTACTCAATAACTAGAATCTACTGACCAAGTTGGCTATAAAGACACTTGGTAAAATGACACCATAGTGTACTGTACTTTAATATTAAATGGTGAGATTCAATCCTGAGAGACCCTTATGTACATGATTCCCCCTAAATTCTCACCAGATATTTACATTTCGGATTCATAAAAGTCATCCTAAGGATTGACTTATTTGTATCAAAGAAAGGAGAATCCGAAACTATCTCATGTTTTTACTGTGTATCACCTTTGAAGACGAAGTCGTGAATATGTTCCTAATCTACTCACCACTGAGAAATCCACTGGTCTAGGCAAGCACACTACCAAAAACACTTAAGCTTCATTAGCAATCTAATAAAAGGTAGATTGCAAAGATTTCATTAAAGGCGGTCAACATGGCATCCCTAGGCCTTCATTTATCTCTGGATCTTAGGTGATTTCCTCTTTTCACGAAGCTATTTATTCAAAAGCATGCAAAAACGGTGTTGGATAATTCGGCTTCAGTAAACATATATACATGTTTATGATCTAGACAATGATTCGCACCTATTGTGTGAAGGCTAATGATACTACCTGGATGTTCAAACCTCGGTAGATAGAGCAGGGTTCTAATCTGTGACTCAGTAGTTGACAATCAGCTTCTTGGGCCGATGAGCCACAGCTCCACTTTAGATAGATTCTAATGGCTTTCTTGGTCATGTTTGCCACAACACTCTAGGTTTGTCGGCTTGTGATTCTATGAGTGTTATCTACTTTATTACTATTATTGTCATTACTTATACTATTAGAACACAAACATGGTACAACAAAGGCACCAAGAAATGCACCACGCAAAATAATATAAAATTATTGAGATAAAGGGACCTAGGCAGTTCAGTGAGTGCTGGTGGTGTGTGGTGAAATTTTCAACCGCATATGAAAACCCAGAGTGGCATAGGGAAATCTCGCCCACCTTCGGCGCCGTCACAACGTTAGTATAACCGTACAAGGTCGGATTTACAACGCTTTAGTGAGAGCAGTTCTGCTATTTACCTGGGAAACCTGGCCTCTCTGAGTTGAGGATGTGCGACGACTCTGTGTTTGATCATCATTCTTTCCGTAGTATTCGGTGGCAACACCATATATAGGGGATTTCAAGATGATAAATTTCTCAGACACGCCCCTCTCTGACAGTCAATTCCAGTGTACAGCTCTGTCCAACGAATCAAAGACAGCTCTGATGTCAAGAAACAGCGATTGTTGGCCTGCAATACGTTTGGCGATGTTCAAGCATTTAACAGAGGGTAAACACATGATCAATGTATCCATGGCCTGAACGAAACCCGACCTGCTCCTTGTGAATCAGTTTCACGCATTTTGCAAAGTCTGCGAAGTATGATAGCAGCCACTATTTTCGATGTGACTGGTAACAGACTAATACCCCGACGATTGTCACACATTACGTACACCCTTATTACAGGTGGTTACAACAATAGCTTTGTTCCAAAGTGATAGAACACTCTGAGTCTGCCATATCTTGTCAAACAATCTAATCAGTTCCCTGATTAGAGTCGTTCCTCTATCCTTAAAAAGAGTCGGTTAAGTTGTCTGGGCTGGGTGCATTTTGGCGTTTCATAACTTGGAGTTCCTTATGGACCTCCACTTCGTTAAGTGGGTCAGTGTTAACTGACTGTAAAGCACAATACACTGGAGCTGGCAATGCTGGAGCCACGGACCAACTAAACTGCTTTTTGAAGTGTTCCGCACAACGTTCCAGGAGTCTTCGAAGATTTATTATCGGCGTACCATCTACCTGACAGATCGTCCTACTGACACCAGGCTTCTTGCTACCTGTGGCTTGTATGAGCTGGAACAACTCCCGACTATTGCCATGTGCAGCTGCTGCTTCCATCTCACTTGCACGTTCTGATCACCAAGCTTCACGATCCCTTCGTAACCGTTGTGTGATCTTTCGAGGAAGAGACTTACGGAAATTATTGTACTCGCTATCCACCGTAATGGTCCGACGGGCACCAAGAAGTTGCAGGGAGCTCACAAAGACCTAGTGTTTATCATCGAGAGGTTCTTCCAAGCCTCAAGCAGCTTCATTTGCCATTTTCATGGCGTTTTGCAAGTGCAGCCAATGCTCGTCTACACTTTCTGGAGGATCGGTAGCTAGCCTTAAATCTAGCTGAGATTGGTCTTTAGCTGCATTGTTAGTTGCAACTATTTTGCTTGTATCGACCTATTTAGGACAACGATTTTGATGACCACTAAAACGCAAGATGAGCTTAGCATACACTAAAGCATGATCAGAATCCAGACAGCCACTCTATATTGAGCGGCAGTCCTGTAAGCACCCACGCCATCGGTAGGTGATTGCAATATGACCTATTTGAGTCTAGGGTTGAGTGGTAGAGGAAGAGGGAAGACGCCAAGTAGCACAACGGTGATGGCTGTACCGAAAGTTGATGCTGGCTAGAAATAGGTTGTGATCTGCGCAAAGCTGCAGAAGACGATCCCCATTATCCGACCTGTCCCTATTAATCACCTGAGAGACTCTCCTCTGAGTCTGAACGCCTGACCTGCTCATTCAAGTTTCCACCTAGCACTGCGATATCTATCGAGCGCACTTGGTTGAGGTCACTGAGTTGATGACAGGATTCATCCTTGATTGTATTCGGGCCGCAATTGGTCGGAGTATAGGCAGAAATAATAAAGAGACATCATTTCTTTTGCCGATTACTTCTTACTCGAGTTGAACCTTCTAGCCTAGCAGCACACAGATGACTGTTGATAGGGATCCAGTCGAGTAGTACAGCTTTGGCTCAGGAGCTTAGTGTGACGCCGGAAAAACCAGTTGTCGATGCCACAGGGTCCCGGAATAAGCGCACATGAAATATGCTTTTTGAGCTGACAGATTGGGAACTAGTTCGAAGTACTTCACTGGGATCTTGTATACGGGTGTTACCTAAAATCTTTCTCATCATTTCTAGCCGTAGTATAGTACACTGGTGAGGAAGATTGAACATAATGGTTATCAAAGTGCTAGATACACAGGTCGCTGATAATCTGAGTAGCGGTGAGTGTTGATATTCTAGTTCTGCTGATTTCCAGGTAAGAAGGTTTAATATACTAATCACGTCACATTAGTCGGTGCTTAAAAAATCCAGTATATTTTTGGTCAGTATTTTTAATATTAAATTCCTGTGTAATGGTAACCGTTGAGTGAAAACTTCAACAAAGTACCTTTCCAATAACTACCGATTTATCTTTGTCATCTCCACTTAGTTGAGATAAATCTGAAGTTCTGCTTAAGGTGGAGATACCACTGTGTGTTTTGCTACTGTGATTAGTATAAGGGAGGGGGACGGGGGGGGAGTCCTAGAATGTTCTGTTATAACTTGTACAAAGTATATGTCGAAATGTATTCAAGATATGTAGACCACTACAGTACATTTCAAACCATATTGCGTTGGTCTGTTACTCAGCAATACAAAAGGTAGTAAGGAGATTTTAAAATGTTTTCTTTCTGTCTATTAAATTGCGAAGCTTATGCTTCATTATGGGAGGATGTCTTTTACACCTCTTGAGACACATCACGGATAAACCACTATATCACTCGGTCACATACCTGTCTAAAAATATGCAAATCAGTTCAATTTGCCACGGCTTCTAAAGCACAGGATATAGAGTGTGTTAGGGATGCCTATTTTCCTTATACTTCATACTTACAGTTTGAGTATATTAGAACTGTTTTGCTTCGCGCTCTTTTTCCCGTGCATGGGTCATATTTCGTATTACCCACTAGAGTTATGATTGTCTCACGCCTCTTTATATGTACTAATTATTCCTTGCTGTAAACTCTATGAAAAGGGTCTGTTTTCACCAAACGTTTTCATCCCGAGATGTTATAAACTCAATTGATTTCTAGTCTTCTGATTTCTCTTTGCGAATCACTCGGGTTGAATCGTGTCAACCCTTAACTACCAATCATTAAGTATTATCGTTTGTTTTCACAACTCCGCATCGTAACAAAGTGGAACTGAGATATAGTGGTATTAAAGTTTAAAAAAGATTATAAGAGTAGAAAGAGGGATGTTGAATGAATTTTAGTAAAAATGTTCAAAACCTGTAAGGTGTTGAGGAGTGAATACAACTATGTGAATAAATACCATGTAGTTCCATTCGGAGCTGCAGAGGTAATTTCTGTTACGTTAGCCTTTCAGACTTTAAATTGCACTGGAATATCAGCCCCAGCACACCAGGACTATGGTATTCCAATCTGGTATGTAGATCCATTTTCCAGAAGTTCAATTTATCCAGAAGAAACTCATTATCAGTCATTCAAGATTACATGATCATCTAGCTTCAGAGTTTGATTCTTCCAAAACTGTTTAGCATGAAAGTTTTCTCACCTACCCACCGAATGTTGTTTGTTTCTAGCCCGACTGATGTGCGTTTTTGTAGTCTTTGAGATCGAAGTTGAGGTGTTTAGACTCATCACATCCTTTAGAGTTTGTGAGCGTTTATTAGTAACTGGTTGCGTTCTGTATTTGAGCTAAGTGATTACCTTAAAATAACCATTTGATTTCTTGTCTATATTGGTAGTTTTTTGGTTAATTTTGTAAAGTCTATTGATAATAACAGCTACTGTTACTCAAATTAGCTTGTCTGTCATTCATTTAGCGTTAGATAGGTTGAGTGTAGATCAAGCCTTTGTGTTCTTGTCAGAGAATATGTACATTGTTGTAGATGAAAGATGCAGTTTAGTCACTTTCAACTTTTCTTTGTTCAAACCTAACTTTATATGATTACAAGTAATCGATCAACCAATGGCTGATTAACGATGATTTTTAATGTCTAATTCTTAGCTGATGGATCATAAATTGATCTGCTTAGTGATCTCATTTTCTGAAATAAAGATATTGGCAGTCTATGAAATTGATTATTTAAATTACGTATATCGTTTAGATTGTGAATATTTCAGTTATCACAGTGTATTCTACTTTGGTTTAGTTGTTTTCGCAATTCACCAGTACTGAATAAATGAGTGAAGTAATTGGTTGACAGTCTTAAAGACGTCTTTGATGTGTGACGGTGATCTGTTTTATGCGTTTAGGTAACTGTCCTATTTTTCGATCCGTTTACAAGCGGTTCTTAATAAATTAGACTAGATAATCTTTAGTTTTGAGGATCGTGAACGTATTTTTTATTGTTTTTGTGGTGTTGTTTGTAAGTAACAGCTAAACTGGTAACGAATGGTCAGATTTTTGTTTTGTTTAAATAACCACCATCTTAGACCATTTCTTAGTTTACTTGTCATTTGTTATCTTCCATATGTAATTGAATAGAATTTAGATCACAGATTTTATATCCCGAGCTAATAGTTTTCACTTTATCTCCTTTCTTCCTTAAATGACCCTTTATTTTGATCTATGACCGACTGAAAAAATCAACGTAGAGCCTCGTATACAGGTAAATCGGCTCAAGTTACCACACTTCATAGCAGTACACAAAGAACAAGTGAATAGAACAAGAGCGATAAAGCAGTGTGAGAGAATGAGCAAATAGTCAAGCTTTAGAAAATGTCAAAGAGTGAATACATCTGCGTCTGTGACTCTGGCTGATTTTCAGTAATGTTAACAACAGTCCTCAATCATTGATTTCTTTCGTCTCGGGGACCCCGACGGGCAGTTTGCATCACCCCCACGCGACTCAGAACAACAGTAAGATATTTCATCTACTTATGCCAAGTATTAATTGACGTGAAGTAAACGGAAATTCTGATTAAGCATTTGTACTGTCTAGAAAAGCTTCAATACGAGAGTGAAGTTAGCTAAACAGATCATGCAAAATTTATGGTTGTGTACTGTAGGAAATCAAAAAATTTTCATCCTCATACTGATGTAAAAAACTTGAAAGTGGTGGAAAAGATTTGTAGCTGAAGATGAGAATGATGGTGGTCTGGTGTTCTCTGAGTTTTAAAGTTATGAAGTTAGTGCTGAAGATGTCATCAAGCCTGGTAATATATATCAAAGCTCAGACAACACCAAACCACCATGCCAAACTATTTCACTATTATGGATCTGTATTTACTACCACCGTTATATTGAATTCCATGTTTGGTATTTTTTACTGTCAGTATTCATATTTTATGAGATTTTAAAATGATGATTACAATCTCTTAACATTCATATCATTCATCGTGTATTTATTAAGACCGAACAAATTCACTTTTTTCTTCTATTCCGCAGAACGTACTATCAAACTTTGGCAGTTGACTGAATTGCCTACACAATCCTTTTCAAATCTGAATTTCCCCGTTGAATGTGGTTGTCGACGTAAAGTTGTCATCAGATCACTATCTGATATCAAAGTTCCTGTTTGTATTAAAAACTATGAAAATACAACTGTACGAGTACAGAATAAGAAAATATTTGCTCGTGGTCATGGTTTTACAATTGTTGGCCTATCACCATCTGCTGACCGTGAAACTTTCTTCTCTGCAGATCCATTAAGGATAAATATGTGGAATTTGGAAGTTACTAATGAGGTGTTCAGTATCCTTTACTGTTGATTTAAATTATTATTTTTCTTTACTAACCAGTTGAAAGGTATTAACTCATTCTGTAAGCAGATGCCGCTTGCTTCCAGTTTCGAAGTTATATCAATTTTCACAGTGTCTTCTAACGTTTGAACTGTAAGATAAGTGTATCTTCATAAAACATTACATAAAAATTCTTTCTGGTCAACCGAAACAGATTATCAGATTGGTAAGTTCTGCATTGGGAATTTATTAGGTTTTGATAGTGTCATATACACTTCTCAAGTCTACTTCAGCTAATTTCAGTGTAACGATATACATCCACATAACTTTCCAACTATTATTCAAGCCTAAATACATCGAATTCTCGATAGTGAATCGAATTGAAATGCACTAAGCAACCTTTTACACATTTGTTGAGTAATTAATAAGCTACAACTATTGTGTCAGGGCTAATGATACTACTACCATCTGGCCGCCCAAACTTCGGTAGGGGGAGGGATGCTTGAACCCGTGACTCATTGGTTGAAAGTCATCTCCTTAAAAATCAATAAGCCACAGCTTCACGGATAGTGAATCAGTGTTATATCACAACAAGTTTTCACTAGTGAATATTTTTCTTCTATTTTTATCAGAATTTTATAATCACGTAGATCTGAGAACACTTTATGAGATGAAAATATAATCATATGGGAGCTGATCTGAGAAAAAAATTCGTATCAGCCTCTACACATACTTATATCTACATGGTTATCGAATTAATTTCTTACTCTTGAGCAAATTCAAATACAAATCATTTGTACACCTAAGTATTTTTATTAGAACGACTATGTAACTATTACTAGCCAGTTCGTTAACTTAGACTTCAAAGATAATTTTTATGTACGCTGTTTTTCAAAACAAAAATTAGACTAGTACACTGTATTGTTTTCCCTTGCATCAAATTCCTTAACATAGTTCAACTTTAAAGGTGTTATTGATCATATGCTTGATCGTTTAGACGATCGATCACATCTAATAACTGGAATTAATTGCAGTAACTCTTCTCCATCATTGTTTGCATATGGTACCAACAGGGGTTCTATTTTCATTTGTGATACACGATCAAGTTCTCTTTGTGATCATCCTTCTCTTGGTGAGTATCTCATTTTCATGAACACTTTATATTGAACTGTAACTCATTGACTTTAGCCACCCATCTACCAACCACTGGATTGAGGGTTGCCTTGGAAGTTGTTTCACTTACTGTGATTTTGGTGACCAGATAGTGTCAACAGCTCTAACACTGGTGTAGCTCATAAGCGAGTACACAAACAGTCATGTAGTTAAGTATGGTAATTTACTTGGTTGCGGCTAGCAGAAGAATCCAGGACGCGCGTTCCTTCCTATCTGGAACTCATCAGCTGGACGTACCTGCACCCCAGTGAGTGTTGTTCCCACCGAGACTTAAGTCTCGTACCCATCGCTTTAAACGCCGAAGCTTTATCCACTAGGCCATGGAGGCACGATAGCCACTTCTTGTACAACGTGTATTATTACTGTCATTATTATAACTACTTGTGGATATGCTTGTAATTCTTCGTTGTTTTACTGAATCAAATTGTTCTACCTCTACTGGCATATGGGCTGCTATGCGGATACCTCAATATTGCCTGATTGTTAAGCCACAACTAAGTAAATTACCATACTCAACAATCAAGTAATATCGAGGCATCCTCGTATAGGTCGAACAATTCGACCTAGTAAAACAACGGAGAATTACAAGTATAGCCATAAATAGTCAGAATTATTATTATTATTATTGGACTTTTTAAAGGATGTGTAAAGGTTGACATTCATCTTTAACCTATTGTATGCAAATGGATACTTCGGTCTCGGACTGCTTCTGCAACTAATCTGACGAAAGGGAGTGAATTCACTAAACCTGTAAGTGACTTCATCTAATTCGATAGGTAAATCAATCATTGACGATATCTCAAAGCAAACAGATGATTAATGTGGCATTTACTTACTCACATTGGTATACTTGTCTTTGCATATTTGTAAGTATGTTTACGAAGCGACTATCACAGAATATGACCAGCTAGTGATATTGTTAGCCAGTTATAATAACCCTTTAATTTAATAAATCTAAATTTTTTGTTGTTGAAAAAGCATACAAAATTTGTTTCTATGTGATTGTTATGCATACAATTTTATAACCTATAAGGTGTCTGTTTCAATTACAGAGAGACCATTCTGTACTATACATAGGTTCTACTGGTTATAGACATATTTTCCTTTCTGCATAAGTTCTTGTTAGAAGAACGTGTGTTCATGATTCTGTGAAACTGAAATGAAATGACCATCTAGGCATGAAGAAGAGGTTGTATCTCGTTAAAGCACCTCTTTGTTTGTAAGATTACCTATTGGTGTAACTAGTATTTAAGGTAAATAGCTAATAATTATGATATGTCAAGTAGAGTACTATCATATTATTATTCATTTTCATTTTTCTTGTGATCAAGGTTTTTTTTGAAAAAGTCTGTACCATAATACTAATCCTTTTGTTTATAACTTTCTAAAAAGCTTTTCATAGCCTTGCTGCAGATGAGTCGAATGTCCTTACAATCCTTACTAGTTCAATTTCCGACTTGAAATTTGGCAATTTCTCCGATCATCTAATATTTTCTCGTGACTACATGAGTGTAAAAAGTACGTGTTTATCTTTATTCTCTTGTTTTACCTGAACTTGGTTCCCGATATCCATTATTTCTTCACTATATATATATATATATATATATATATATATATATATATATATATATATATACTTTTTTCTGTTTCAGTATGGGATTCACGAATGCCAACCCAACCGGTTGAAGTTTATCCCGTCCAATTTCATTTAAGGAAACATCTCACTGTATTATATGAGACTGAATTACTTTTTGATGACTTCAAGGTAACTATATCCTCTGATGATAGGTAAGTTGTTTGTTTACTGTTAAATTGTATAAAATCTGTGATATCTAAGAAATAATTCGAATTATTCAACACTTCAAAACTTGTTTGACCATATTTATCCTTTATGTTGCTCTATAATTGTCTTTTATGGCTTATACTTTAGGACGTTTGAGGGAACTATTAAGTCAATGGTTGCAAGCTGCAGAATACGAATAGTTTGATCATAGGATAGCGAACCAATACAAAGCTAATAGTTATAACTTAATTTTTTGTTCAGCTAACTTCTACTAATCTCGTGCATTTGGCTTCTACGCAGATATGTATTCTTTAAATATTTGTTTCAGAAGCCATTTATATATGTAAATATCTATTTCCTCAGTAGTAGACGCGATCTAATTCACTTACGAGGTAGGAAATGAACAAGGAGAATTATCTATGTTGGATTGCAGGATAAAATGAAAGACAGACGGTGGTTTGGATACTACCGTCTATAGGAAACCGACGCATTCTAACAGGTATCTAGGCTTCAAGTCACCTCACACAATATCCGTTAAGGTGGGTTTAGTCAAATGGTAGAGCTAAAGAACTCACTAGTCATTGTGAAGACTTAAAAAAAGGAAATGAAACATAAAAGAAGCACTAGTAGTTAATAATTATCCTCTACAGTTTATTAAGAAATTCATAGGAAAATAACAGTAATACGAACACAAATAATGGCGACAACACGAATAGAAATAAGTTCAAAGCCTCTATCCTGTCACCATATAAGGAAAGAACAACAGAAGCTTTATGTGGGATCCTCAACAAAGCTGGAATCAGGGTGGCATTTAAACCTACGGACTCAGTCAGGGATAAACTTTGCCGGCTCAAGGATCCGACTAAGCAAATTAATCTAACCTACCGAATTGCGTTCAATGACTGTTAGGTCAAACTAGCCGGTCCAGTTCAGTTAGATTAACGGAACATAAGAATTTAACTAAATATAGAATGACAAATCCGAATAAGATCAACGGTTTAGAAAATCACTCGGCTATTGTAATGCATGCGTTAACACACAACCGTACAATGCGGATGGGATAAAGCCACTACACTTAAGTCCAATATAATTAGGTGGAGAGAGAGAGATTACTGATTACTGCATCTTTGTTCATTGAATCAGCCAACACTCAACACATGTAATAGGAATAATGACGCAACACCTATACCAGAGATATGCGAAATTTTACTACCAATAAACTCAAAGAATATGAGGTGACAGGACTATAAAAATCAGATGTCCAAATTTGTATCAATACATTGATATGATTATGAGCAGTGATAATTTATGCTCATAACATCGTCATCAAGTAAATAATACTTTATCACTCTGCGCTATATATCAAATAAATCAACTTATGTATAGTTATATTTAGAAGTAGTTGTTATAACTATTATGATCATGATAGTTTTTTATACGGGTTAGTGTGGTGCCATATTTGGAGGAAAAAAGTGAGTTCAAAAAAATAAAACAACGATTTGTAAAAGGGAAACGGAAACGAAAAGTATTCAGTAATCTTCTGGATGCTAGTGTAGTAAGTAATAAGCCACACCTATTGTATGACTACTTGACTGCTCAAACCTCCGTAAATAGAATAGTGTTCACACCAGTGACCTAGTGATAGAAAGTTAGTTGAATAAACAAACGAGCCGTAGCTCCACATTTATAAGAAATGATTACAATGTGATCATTTTTTATTCACCGGACTCTGGAATTAGTAATCTTTGGCTAATCGATGACTAAGGATTTAGATAAATGTGGTCAAGAAAAATACCGAACATATATATATATATATATATATATATATATATATATATATATAAGCATTGTCTTTATCAAAATCCAACATTTCATTGTAATTGAATCGCTACATGAAGTCCTAGATTCCACCGCTAGCCCATCTACTAATTTGCTCCAGTATAACAACGGGAGATTACATGTATGAATAAATGATCAACTGTTGATTCGACCCTACGAAGAAGCCTTAATTAACATTTTAATGGTATATTATGCAATAAATTAAACATTAATTCACTAACAGAAAAACAGTTGTGAAAGCACTTCAGTTGGGAAAATATCTTTAAAACCCAACCAAGATTTCAGTTGTTAAAACTCAGTGGAATTGCAGTTTGTACTACTTATAATAACATGAACAAGTAGTAGATATTACAGTGCCGTTGAGTTAAGTAATTAAAGTTGACATTCAATCACTAAAGACTCTTGGAGAAAAAGAAAAGAAAAAATCCGTGGGAAATATCGAAGAAAAATTCGATTAAGCAGCAGAAACCGAGGGACAGTTCGTTTGGAAAGTAGATTGCAGATATTATTCGCATGAATTACACTAAATGCAAGTTTATAATGGTCGTTGTAATGAGTATTATTGCTTTTTTTTATCCCGTCGTTGATTGGACCAAATTGATCGGTCTCTGTTGGCATATAGACTCCTGTGCGGATGTCTCGATATTGCCTGTGTTTTATTTATGCATATTAATGATGGGTAGTGGCTAGCAGTGGAATCCAGGACTCGCGTTTCGTCTTATTTGGGACTCTTTTGCTAGATGTGCATGCCTCCCAGTGGGTAATGTTGTCCCCACCGGGATTTGGACTCGGGACCGATCGCTTCAAACGCCAGAGCGTTATCCACCATACCACCCAGCCGCGATAGCCACTTCTTGTGCGACTGGTATAGTTTTAGCATAATTGGTTGTGTTATACCGTCATTGACTGGACTGAATCGCTCGGTCTCTATTGGCATATGGACTTCTGTGCGGATGCCTCGATGGGAACAACATCACTCACTGGGACGCAGATACATCCAGTGTGAATTGGGTTGTGAGATTGTTGTCTGTTTTTTTTTAGTGTCAACTGGGCTGGTAAGGAATACTTTTCTCAAACTGTCTCTGTAGTTACCCCTACCTTGGATGTTATTATCTGTCCATTCTCTGGTTTACTGTGAGGTTACCGAATCCAAATGTTAGTTGTTATAGCTCACTTTGTAGTGACTGAAGAGTTGGACTTACTGACTAGACATGTATGGACAGTCGAGTCACACCAGTTAAAGAGTCACTGAAAACCTTGGAGCACTGGACAGTTGTTTCGTCCTAGTGAGGAACTCTTCAGCAACGCAGATCCATAGCCTTGTTAGGGATCGAACCGAAGACTTTCAGGTTCCGTGACCAACACGTTATCATTGAGTCACTGGGTTGGAATTTAGTGGCACACAGTTTCCTACTTCTGTCAGCTCACGAGATAGCGCGATTATGAATATCGATTTGAAATCAATAAATAAATCCTCAGATACCTCTAAAATGAGGTTGTTCAACGATGACATTGGATAGAGGTCGAGGTATATCGTGAACTGACAGAAGTAGGAAGTGTAGACCATCGGATTCCGACTCAGTGGCTCAATGGTGACATGTTAGCTGCGGGACTTGAAGTTCCTGAGTAGGACTCCTAATGGGACAGGGTAATGGGATATGGTTGTGTATAGTGTGAACTGAATAGTCGAGGTGTTCAACTGTTCACTTATGCAGCGCAATACACCCATTTGATCATAAGAAAAGACAAGACGTAGTTGCAGCGAAGAAAAGCCTACGTGGAACAGAAAATTTGTTAATTTTCAAAGTTCAGTCCCTCCATGCGGGAAAAGAAATCGTATTCATTCACTTTCCTCGAGGATCAGGAAAATATGTACTGATGGAAAACTGCAAATAATTGGACAAACTCTAGCGGAAAACGGTTTCGGGCTCGGATTTGCAGATAAGAACATAAAGTTAAAGAACTTAATGAACACATTTGGCGCCTAAAAAGATTCTTTTGTCAAATTTCGAATTCAAAATTGATATTGCTGCAGACATCCTCAGGAAACGACTATCAAAATCCTTAAACAGAACATACTTCGCCGCCAACCTTCGGATTATTTTCTCATGCAAGAAACCTTTTAGTCAATGTGTGAAAGACAAGCCGACGCATTGGGCTACATCAATGTGTATACCAGTTTACTTGATCTTGTGTAGCTGAGTACATCGGCCGTACCATGCGTCCGCTTGTAAAACGTGTCGGCGAACACTACCCAGCCTGGCTTGCAAAGGTAGAACGGAAATGTATCTTCATTTCGATAACAGAACACATCGTGAACTCAAACCACTTAGCTCCTTTTGAGAGCTTATTCAAAATTCTCTACAGGATTCGATCAAACTACTCGAAAGGAGTAAGATCAAGGCATCTGTCTATAGCTGAAGCACTAGCCATCCAGAAGTTCAAACCAGCGTTATGTGTGCAAAAAGGTACGTCCAACCTTTATCTTTGCCCTGGTCATCATAAAGCTTCGACTGTCAACGATTCATCCTGCATTAGGTGACTATGCATGTATTTCCATAACTGCTTGTTCATTTTCCTACTCTGTTATAGGCTTGTCCGGTATTAGATGATTACAATTTTGATTTCATAACTTTTCCTTCATTTCCCTACTTTGCCATATATTCATCCTGTGTTGCATAACTACATTTAATTTCGTAATTCCTTATCTATTTTCCCGCTCTAAACCTAAATATGTATAAATTAACTTCCTTTAGTCATTCAATATATTTTGCCCCCTAGCCGGAAATAATTCTGGAATGTTCTCCCCACTGTCATATATATTCATGAATGTACAACTTAGCAAATGACTTCGTCGAAAAGAAAAATATTTTTCTTTACTACAACCACGTCTTATCTTTCTCCATGTTCACTGATGCTTCCAGGTTTGTACTCATTTTCTCTGTTTTTATTCTGGATTGATAGACAAATGAACATACAACCTGGCATAGAAAAGTGCATTGGTTTAAGTTGCCATAATATACAATATGCTAAGAAAATGTGGTTAGGAAAAGAATGATATTAAAGTAAACAAATGTGTATACAAGTAGGAAGAATTAAATAAGTCGGTTAGTGACAATGTTCAAACTGTTGAATACATCTACACTATTGTGATCGATTTTCAGCCATTTCACTAAGGGTCTCTAAACACTGATTCCTATTATCTCCAGGACCTCAGTCAGGTGGTATTCGCCTTCATACACTAATCAGACTTGCAGTCAGACACCTTATGGTCTGAGCACTTATATTTTACTTCCTACCCACTCCTACTTCGTCCAACGTTACACGCCGATTTAGGCAGTGACTTGGTATACACAACATAAATCCAAGCCATTTCAGTTCGTGAAACTTCATAATTTGATCAACTGGCCCACCTTACTTACCTAGTAACTTCACCATTTCTCATACGGTGATTTCACCATGCGCGAACTATACAACGAAGATACCTGTATTCAGAAACTTGTAGTCTCTCTTCATACCTCGCACTTTTAACGGCCATGTTTCACAGTTGTACAGTAGAATAGAGTGCACCATAGTGCAGTATCCTCACTCTTTAATATGTGGTTGGACATCCCTCTTACGTGAGAAGTGACAGAAATTAGAAAAGTGCAGAATGGACCTTATTTATCCTAGTTGCAACATCCTCACTAACAAACTCATTCAGACCGGTGTAATCCTAAGTGAGTGAAGTAGTCAGTGTATCCTGCCAACTCACTATCCTTAAAGTAAAAGTCGATGAAGACCAGTACTGAAGTATCATCTTACATTCGACAAGCGCGAAACGCATAGTAAACATACTTAGACTTCTGCTCGACGGCATTCAGACGGCTATGTATCCTGCTAACATCGCCTGACAGCACTATGTCGGCTGTGTGCTAAAATCGACTAGGTGTCCTTGTAAGAGTAAGTCAATCCCTGAGAAGTCGTAGGTACCTAGAGTTATATCCATTACCAAGTGTATGAAAAGGTTCAGCAGGAACAGTGACAGGAGGCGTCTCTGGCAGAAACCACTGGTTGTCTTCATCTCGGTACTCTCTTCACACTTAGACACTGCGACGATACCTCTCGGTCGATAGAATCGAAAGCCGCCTTGAGGTGAAGGAAATTTGGCGGATAGGTGTCAGGTGCCGGTAAGTATATTTATGTTTCGAAGCCTGTCGACGAGTAGAGAGTTGATCAATGAACCCTCATGCAGGTATGAAACCTGCCTGCTTTTCACGAGTTTGCTGTTCTTGAGCTTTGATGAACGTCTTTTAATTACTGACCGTATTTTCTTTGACGTGGTGTTTGTCAAACTGATTCCTCTGCGTTTTTCCCAGTAAGGCTTCTCTCCTCGTAACGTAGAATGATCAAGAATGTTGACGTCTAATGAAACTACCTCTGATTCCTACACACTAGTTAGTATCTCCGTTACCTTATTCAGTAGTTTTCTGGTGAGAGGCCATCTGCCCCTGCTGATTTGCTTCGCTTCAGGTTTTAGCCAGCCGTGTTAACTTCAAGGTAATTTGGTGGACGGACATGTATCGCATTCAGGTTTGGACTAGTCGTTGAGTAACTGAAGCGTGGCTACTGTAGAGTTTTTCACCCAGCGTTTCAGCCACTTATCTTGAGAGTTTTTTTTGGAACGCACTTTTTCGGCGAGTCTCATAGAATGTCGCCTTCTTGTTGACAGTTTCCGTAATAAAGCCTGAATGATTTCTGAGTTCCACCTAATGCTGATATCTTCTACATCTTTTCGGTCCGCACAACCGTAGAGCATTATCAGCACACCTACTAAGCACAACTTACAGCTAGGTTTATAACCCTGTATGCTGTTGCCGAGTTCCTTTATGTAATTTTTACAGTTGCACCTATTTATGAAGTCTTTTCACAGAACCCTGGTTTACTTAACACAATTGTTTAGTGTCTCTTGGTCTTTTACGATTCTCTGATTGATATTCATGCATAGTGAAAAGTATTTGAAAGATAGTGAGTATCCTAAAAACAAATCAATACAATGTTTAGTAAGGTGTTCATTGTGGTAATGATGAATATGAATATGATATATTAGATACCGTCTCTAGTTAGGATTACATTTTAACGCCTTGTTTCATAGCTGATTGAATCTAGTTTTCAACTGCGTGTGAATTGTGATAACCATAGGGGGGGGGGGTGACAGGAATCAGTTTGACCAATACCGTATTCAAGATCCTGGGGCACATAGTTATCCGACGCCTAAGTGGAGCTCGAGAACAGCAAACACGAGGAAACTAGTCAGGTTTCACACCTGGACGAGGGTGCATCACCCTCCGACAGTTTCTAGAACACAGATATACTTAACGGCCAATGGCCGACACTTCTCATATTTCTTGACCTAAAGGCAACATTTGACTTTGTTGACCACGAGGTGTTGTGACAGTGTCTGACTGGAGATGGAGTACTGAGCAAGTATGTAACTCTAATCAAGGATATGTTATCGAACTCACTGCGCCGTATAAGGGCTTGTGGAAACTTGTCATATGAATTGGCGGCAAATAGTGGTGTCCGCCAGGGATGTCCACTGTCATCTTTCCTGTTTAATTTCATTATAGATGTGCTGATGGATGGATATAACCTCTGGGTACAGGGATTGGTCCACTCCCTGGAGGTAATCTGGCTGATTTGGAGTATACAGACGATATTGTCCTGCTAGGTGAAGACACTGAGAAAATGCAGGGTCTTGTGAATCCATTGAGCAGAGTATGTTTGGCGTGGTATTCGCACCTATCAGACGTAATATTATGCTCCAGAACTGGTCTGCAACTACTAGTTTAATGATAGAGAGTAAAGTGGTGGAATGTGTTAGTCACTTCATTTACTTGGGAAGTTGCATCAGCTCGAACTGACTGGTTACTGACGAAATCCCGCCTCGCATACATAAGTCTCGTTTGCGACTTGCTAACTTGTTTGTATTGTGTTCTCTGAGCTCAGAGAACACAATACAACCAAGACCATCCACCTGAGCTACAAATATTCTCAACTACTTGCTAACTTGCTTCATCTCTGGTGCCGACATGTGACTGCCTGTTAAAGGATGAGCATACTGCGCTGAAGTCCGTTTTATCCTGTTATACGGCTGTGGAACATGGCCGTTGAAAGTAGATGTAAAGAGACTAAATGATTTTGAAAACAGTTGTCTTCGTAACATAGTTCGCGTATGGTGGGATTACTATGTGAGCAATGTTGAGGTTAGGTGGAAGGCACTAGACAAGATAGGTATGTCTGTCGGTGAGGTTGTGAACCTTGAGGGACTGAAGTGGTTTGGACGTGTGCTCCGCACGCTAAGCCACCGCGTACCTCGATGTGCAATGTTAGGATAAGTTGGATTTGGTTGGAGCAAGACTCAAAGTGACCATACCGAAACTTGACACCATCCCTTGAAGTATGAGACTATCGATCTCAACTGTGTAGGGATGTGTAGGCTACTTGACTGAGATAGTCGAGACCATAGGAATTAGTGGGAGAAGAGTCTTGGTGACATGCCTAAAATCGGTCACAATAGGACAGATGTATTCACTGTCTGACGTATTCTAAAGCTTGAATATTTGCACTAACCATTATCTTCAGATTGTGTATTCTCTCACGCAACTTTTTCTACTTTGATATCAGTCTTTTCCTCTATCCATCTGTTTTTTGTATACTGCTGTGAAGTGTGGCAATTTTAGAGGATGCACTTGTATGCGAGGTCCTACGTTGATTTCATCTGTCTGTCTTCTTTGAGTAGTCTGGATGCTTTGATGTAGTAATTTCCATCCATATACTAAATATTGAGAAGGTATTCTGTGAATGCGGAGTTTGGGACACTACTCGCAGTCCCTTCGATTATTATTTTGACAATGCCACATATGACACAGTTATGGGAAAATGATGAAATTGGGTAACGTGATGTAACTTACTACTGATTAGGGAAAGTGAGTGAAGGTGGTTCTGTATACGTATTGTATATGAGGTGATTTCGTTGGGAAACAAGTACATTCATCGTCTGTTTTTTTGAGGTTTCTACAGCCTATAGGTCTAAAATAAAGTTTTTATAACGCTTCAATTTGTTTTCCCTGTATCTACCTCAATGGTCAGTCCAATGGAGGTAGTGGTATATATGCAACACAGAAAACTATTTGGACTACACAGTCTACCCAAAGATATTTTCATGAATAATGTTCACTAATTACTAATTTGAGTGACTACAGTACAAACCGGACTGTAATAGGAGAGGAGATAGAGTTTCCTCGAAGTTATGTCTATGGTTAATCATTTCTCTCTAAGGTGGGTTGGACTTAAGTTCTATAGTCTAAAAGATAGGAATAAAACACTTCAATCAATGAAAACTTCAGCTACAATCATTGTTGCATATGTATACGTCAACGGAGAGCGTCTTTCATCTCTATTTAAGGTGGTTAGTTTACCAATAATAATTTCTTTTCACAGAAATTCTAAGAAACTATTAACGTCGTTTATTTTCAGATATATAATGACTGGTTCATATAATAATACTGTTAAAGTTTTTGATCGTCGAAATCCTGTCGAAGGTTCTTACAAATTAATTATGCAAGATGAAGAGGCTAATTCATTTATTGATCCATTTCGTACTACTGATGGTAGTGGTACTTCAGTATTTGTTTCACCGATACCAGATAGTATTGAATTACCTTGGCCACGACGATTACATGATGATTTAATTGATACAAATGAAGATTTTTCTAAATCATCAACATTTGGTGATAATTCAAATGAACAATTATTCACTGTAAATGTTGGACGTAAATGGTTACAAGTTAGTTGGCAGCCTGGATTCAATGTGGCCGCTGTCAGTCATTCAGATGGTATACATTTAATTGAAGCACTAAGTTAGCATTATATGCAATTTATGTAATTTCATTATATATATATATATATATATATATATATATATATATATATATATATATATATATACTTTATTTTCTTCAGTGAAATCACATTCCTAGTTGTATGTTTTTGCCTTCATTGCCTTCGTCTTTTTTTTGTTTTGTTTTTCTAAATAAACAAGCAAACAAACATTTTCATGATAATAGTGATACATTTCAATGAATAAAATGCTTTGCTTTATCTGTTTTATTTTCCACCTGAATTTATTTATTTTTAACATTCGACAGACATTGTTAACTAGATGTATACATATACGTCTATTGGTAAATATTGCCTTCTTGTAAACTGTCAGTAGAAATCTTCTGTTCACCCATTCATTTATTCATTCATTCATTTATTGTCTCTTTCTATCATATTCTTGTCATACTTTTGTCCAAGAAGATTTCACTTTCTTTCCTCTCTCTAAAAGGAATCATTCATAAAAATCGAATTAGTTTTATTATTTTCGAGTTCTGCTTTTCTTTCTGTTGAGTCAAGGTGTACTGTTATGTGCATCCACACACACACACACACAAGCAGACGAAGAGAGCGGTGTTGACAGACAACATATTCTCTTTTATCCCCTTCTCTGATATTTTGTGCCAAACACAATTGTTTTCCATGCATTGATAATTTCTTTTGTTGTTGTTCCCCTAGATTTCAATTATAGCAGTGTACATACACATAGGATACATACAATATATGTTCTGTATACTCCACCTCATGGAACATAGCACTATTCACATTATTTTAACAACTGAAACAACGAAACAATAGGTCAGGTGGAAGTAATTGCTGAAACAAATTTAGATCTTTGTCTCTGTCTCTTTCATCAACGCATCATAATAATAATAATATTGTTATTATTACTGCTATTACTATCACTATAACTACGATTAAGTACTGATTATCACTACTAATTATGATAACTGTTATTATTACTGTTGATATTATTGCTACTAATAATGAAATAGATTTTGTTTTTTGTAGAATCATTTTCCGGTAACTTTTCTTACTTGGATTATTATCAAAATAAATGACGAGATAAAAAAAGTTGTATTTGATGATTAGAGAATGAATTTTGCTTTTCTTGTCCATTTGTTTCTACGTAAACTGTATGTAATGTGATTTTTAGGGGGATTGTGTATTTGATAGTAATGATGGACAGCGGTTAGGAGTGAAATCCAAGACGCGCATTTTGTCCCATTGAATAAAGAGTGGTTATCGTGACTCAGTGGCTTAGTGGGTAGCGCTTGAAGAGATGGTTTCGGGGTTGGGGTCTCGGTGGGGACAACACTCGTTAGGAGGGAGGTACATCCAGCTAACTAGTCCCAAGTAGGAAGAGATGCACTTCTTGGGTTTTACTGATAACCAGCGTCTATCGTTACTACCAAACTGAAGTTACCGGCAGTATCCAGGCATCCGTTCAGGAGCCTGTATGCCAATAGAGACCGATTAATTCTGTCCAATCAACCATGGGAAATTACAAGTAATAATGTAAGGATTGTGTGTTCGTTTCGACGGGTCGCTCGTTGATTTCTAACCATTTTGATTGGCACCTATCTCGATATGTAACATGTTAGTCGAAGTAACATCCGGTCGGTTGAACACCTAGCATCAATCCACGAGGTGTCTAGCTGTTGCTTTGATTCTTGGAAGTAGGTATAGACTGTGTATTTAGAGTCCTTGAGATAATTGGGACCAGTGTTTTGATGCTCGGTGATCTGGCTAAAAAGTGGTCACAGTGGCGCATATATCTTGTTATTATCTCGGTATATATAACGACATAGTGCTTCGAGGTGATACGACTAATGATAGAACAATAACTTCTCAACACGATATTCAACTGACACCAGAAAGAAGAAGAAAATAGGATTAAAAGTATATTTACTTCAACTGAATGGTGCCTTATAGCTGAGAATTCTGTTGTCTATATACCCTTAGATGGCCTTGGCCAGGGAAAACAAAGTGGCCTATTAAAAGTGTAAAATAGATTAATCAGCGTTTAGTGTTCTAAACCGCGGAAAAAAAGTGATATGGCTTGGAGGAAAAACCTTACAGTGATAATCTATACATATTATAAGTTACATTTTCTTAGGGATTAGGCATTCCTAACATATCTATGCTCTACTTATGAGGTACACTTACAGACACTGAATATATGAACTGGCATTACTGCGTATAATAGTCCGAGGTGATAGTTCGAATTGAAATATGGACTTAGAGGTGAACAAGCTACGTACAATGTATCCTATAATGAAGTATACCTCATAAAATCGTCTAGTGATCTAAACTAGGAAGAATATAGTTCTCTACACATATCAGACCAGCAATCAAAGATGTTATTGGTTAATAACGCATTTTCGTTTGCCTATACTTAACTTTTCCAAGTTGAACTCCACTTCAGCTAACATTATATGCTTGCAGTATATAGTGACTAGGCACACACTGTAGCCTATGTACACTTCATAATATTGTATATCCTCAAAGTGAATTATGTCCTTGACAGTTAAATATATTGAAGCAGAATCTAGTTTTTCTGTTCGCTTCATCTTTCCGCTTACGTATAATGAATATTAATGATTTAAGAAATAAGACTGATTTCTTACTTTTACTTCACATCCCCTTTCTTTATTTGTTCCCGTGATACCACTCCAATAGTTTATTTCTTTTCGTAACGAAACTATTCATCTTCAAATGAGGTAGAAAATATTGGCTAACATACACTTTTTTGTAACTCTCTAGTTTATAAACCTAAACAATTTTCTGGAATTATTGAAGCAAGTAGTTTTCTGGATTTTCAACCAAGTTATGTTCATCATACATTCACTAGTTTTTCGATTCTTATTGTACATCTTGAATCTTAGGATTTATCCCACTAAAAAAAAAACTATTAGTCGTAATTACTTTGAGTTGACTTTCGATTACGAACAAATAACAATCTGAAGTTAATGCTTAGTGGAAATATTCAAAGAGTGAATGTATCTATGTTAATCTTTAAGACTCCTCACCCACTGATTCGTATGGTTTCGACTACCTGATTCATGTAACCTACACATTCCTACACAGTTGAGATCGATATTCTCAGACTTCAAGGGATGGTGTCACGTTTTGGTTTGGTCATTTTGAACTTTGCTTCAACCGAATCCAATTTCTCTTAACGTTGTATGTCGAGGTTGGCGGTGTCTCACTGTGCGCAATACATGTCTAGGCCATTTCAATCGACTAAGGTTAGCCGATAGCTGTGGCAACTGTAATGCCATCACCATATGTTTATTGAACGTTTAATTTACTCATTTGCGATCTGTTTCTATATTTGTACTTCTTTGTAGCTTACATATGATAAACTGGTTGTTACAGTGGACTGATGATGAATGTAAATTGTTGTTATGCTCTGTATACAGATTCATAGGGTCTAAGCATTCAATATTATCATCATCACGTGAGCTATATAACATGCATATTGTAAGCAGTAACGTGATCTGTTCTCTGTAATTCTTTTCGTAATCAAATAAGCAATTTATTTGTTTTCTTTTTATGCTATATCTTTGTACCTATTCCTTCAGATGAGTTTTCAGAACTGTTAGTTGGATAATTTCAGTGTATTGATCAAATTTTCTATGATGTGAGTCTTTTGAAGCGATCTCTTGTGGCTTCGAGTCTTAGTCAAGACAACATCACTCACGAGAAGGCAGGCACATCCAGCTGACGAGTCCCAAATAGGACAAAACACGCATCCTAGATTCTACTGATAGCCTCTATCCACCAGTACTATTTTGTACAAAATCTTTTATGTATATTTATGCATGTAGTAAGGCCTGTACATACTAGTGGATGGGGGAAGAGAGTATACATGTGTGTGAAAAGGTGAATAGGTTATATTCTCTCTTTTTCTCTTTATAACACTGTTTTCCCCTTCATATGAGTCGTTGAATATCCGTTTAGAGTCAGTTTTTGCAGTTGGTTTCAGAAACACTAGGATTCGGTCCCAAAAAAGACTTGGCTACTGTAAAGTATTTGGAGGACAACTTTTCTATAACTCATCAGTTCTCGAAAAAGTGTATTTCTCTGACTTCAGGTATGTTATATACAGCATGTTTGTCATGCTTACGTGTATATAGTTTTCAGACAATCTTATTTGAACTGATTTGTTTCATATTTCTCACTTTGGTGATATATTTTTTACTACTTTGATACCCAGGAATACTTTTCATTGGTAACTTGGTCAATATTTCCAGCCAAACTTGATCAAAATCGATATCCTTGATTTGATTATTGATAGGAAGCGGATTAAGTGGAAATCAACATTTAAAGTTATAAGCCGCTAAGCTAGAATATTTTGTATTTCAACTTTTGTTTCATGTCACTGTGTGGTCAAGAGAAATCTTATTAGACAATTTATCCTGCAGTTGACCAATCAAAAGAAGCTATTTAACTTTTGACCTAGTGGTTTTATATGTTCATGAAAACTGTATATAAATGGTGTACTTTTATCGAATAAGGTGTCCTCCTTACAATCATAGGCCAGTCTGCATGTCTGCTTGTATTTTCGTGACTCAGTTGAAGGGAGAACAATGGCTATTCGTATTTCGTGTATTTCTTATTATTCACCCGGTCACTTCGATTATATGTATTTGAAATGTGTTCTTTCATGCTACATGGGCGTTCAGTACACTGAATATAATGCACACTGTTTAACTGATGTACTTTGAATTTTAATTATTGAACATTTGGATTACGATTCATTATTTTTGTTTATCTGAATTACTAGTGCTATTCTGTTTACTTAGTGCTAATTAGACGTCTTCACTTATTTGGAAACAACCAATCCATTATCCTTACTTATACCTAACTAAAACATACTAATGTGGAATATTGCTGATAATCAGCCTTGATATTTTAAAATTATAGTCGAAATGGATGTCTATAACGAGTTTAAAAGTATGTTTTTTCATTGTTTAAATTCTGTAATTTTACCTCATCATTTAAAGCCAAAACTTGAAAAAATATTTACTAGGTTCTAGTTTGAGAAACACCATTAACAATCATTGGGGTATATATGCATCCAAGTGAAGTTGTTCATTAGTTTGGGGATTCAACTATCGACTGTTGTAATCACACATCAATTACCAACCATAGCCTTGTATACAGATGTGTATCCATTTTCGAAGCCTTTATCATTGTAGATATTTCAAAAAGGGATAACACCTTTGAAGGAATTGTATCAGAAAGTAAAATTCAGTAGTAATATGAACCATTATTGTATGGTAAGGTTTTTATCTTTTAATCAAAAGCTGACTGTTCTTAACAACGATGATAACCACCTTTCTATCACGAAGTACACCTTGCTATGATATCATCTTACACACCTTTATGGAAAAATGAAGTAATAGTTCTTACACATTGTGAAAAAGCACGTCGTTTCACAACAGTACTTTATTTATTTATTATCGAACCTCTTTATTGCCTGTCGGGGATAAAAATGACATTGTTTTCAAAGAATGACTCTAAAGATCAATCTAACAACTGCTGAAATAATTAATTAGGTTTGAATATTTCGCCTGGCAAGGTAGTAATAATGATGGATAGTGGCTAAGAGTGGCATTTAAAACGTGCATTTCGTCCTATTTAAGACTCACTAACTGCTTCCTAGTGAGCGATATTGTTCCCTATAATTTAAGCTATAATATCAAAGGTATTTTTTTTACGGAATACAGAAAACTAATTTGTTATTCCAGCAGTTGATATAATATCGTTTAGAGTCACTTACTTTCAAATGCAAAGAACACCCAAATGGATCAGATTTTTTTCTTCAAACTGATTGGTTGTTTCAACGTAAATTTAGAGTTTCATTAGGATGGTAGAATTTTTCTGTTCCACAAAATTTACACTAGGAAGAGCATGAATTATACTTGATTGGTTCTTTATTTCGTTTCGGTGTTGTAAGTAATTTGGTGCAAATTTCAAAAATCTCAAGTAAACATTTTACTAACTAAAATTCGTTGACTAGACTACCTGACGTGTCATTGCTTAGCAGAATGATTGATGTATACCCGGAATGTTGCCTGAATTTGT